GTTGAGGTTTGGCGGTGACGACGACACCACGCGCTTTCCATTCCAGAATGTGCGAAAATCATCTCGTCGTGCGGGAGCATTGTCCAGTCCGACCAGGTCCTTGCCCTTGCCGTTCGGCCCCGCGTTCGACCAGCAACGACCTCCTCACACCTCGCACGTATTTTCGGCGCCTATTTACCATTTCACTTCAAAGTCGTGCCGTTCGCACTATAGCGAGCTCCCAGCTGTTGCAAATAATCGTGCGCCGATACAGTGCGACACATTGCTTGTCCTTTGCACAGCTCTTAACTAGACTGGGTACATTCAAACTTTTGTAGGGCACGGTGCAGCTCGATAGCTAGCGCAGAGCAGCCGTTCCAATCAGGATAGGAAATGGTGAATGTCGAAGTTAAAAGACCCTTACGTCCACTTTGGTCACAGATTTGCCGGTCGTCAATTAATCTCGCTCGCTTTTCTTCTTCTGGGAATGATAACGCGACAATTACAAGAGGACGCGCTGCGGTCTCGTATGATTTATTGGACAGGCGCTTGGAGTGTACTCGAACGCTGGCAGCAGTTTTACGGTGCGCCGAGACGGAAAGAATTAAGGAAGGTGGGAAAAGGGAGGAGGGGGGGGGGGCAGAAGTCAGCCAATGTGACGCTACGAAGCTGAAACGGTCTGATAAGAAGTCTGCCACAAAGTATTCAGTCTGCCGAAGATTAACCGAAAAGCAAGCTCGAGCAAGCATTAAGTCATCCCGCTTCTTCTCTTGCTTATGACTCGAGCCGGCGAAAGTGATATGCGAGGAGATTGCGTCGCGTTTGTGCACAACTTACCAGCTTGCGGTTTGAACTGAGTGTCTGACTGGGGCGTGTGTTGCGTTAGGGGTTGCTTGGGTCGCCTACACGCCTTTCTGACGGGACAACCCCCTTTTTCTCCGGGGCTGGACGCACCCCTGGTGCTTGCAGCGTGTTTACTTGCGTTCCGGGTCGCCCGTCGCCATGCACTTCACCTGCTGTCGTTGGGGGTTGGGGGTGGGGTCCGGCTGAAGACTCTTTATTGCCTCTGCGGCGCCGGTTCCTAATCATGGCCTGATAACTAAGATACGGTCCCAATCTGATCAGGGGCAAGTCGTTTATCTTCTGTTTGCGACCGCCGGGCCGCCCTGCGCTTCCACCTATGCTTCGTGGGGTCAGGCCAGGTCGCAGACTCTGGCGCTGATTTCTAATCCGGGGCCTGATAACTGAGATACGGTCCGATCTGATCCGGACCGGGGCCAACGCCTTATCCACATGGGCATGCCGGTGCCGAGGAGGCTAGCGCATGCAGGGTGTGGCGCCGGCGGGGCGGCTTGCGCACCTCTCCGCCAGGCTCCAGCCTCAGTGCAGTCGGCCCGCCGGCCGGTCCGCTGCAAACGGCTGCAAACGCGCGGAACCTTGACCGGAACACGTTGCAAAAGCGAGGCGCCGCGGAGCGACGCGCACCCACCGTGAGGCCACAGCCGCGGCGGCAGCGGCGGCCGTCCGCGCCTGGCGACAGTACTTGACATATGCAAATAAACCGTTCGGTTGTCTATCATCGCCCTTTAAGATCCCCCGCCCGTGATGAAAACAATATTGATCTGTAGGTATGCTCGCCGGATAGCGGGGTCTATGAGCGCCTGCGGAAGTGACGATAGGCAACCCGCGCGCACTGCTGCATGGTGGTTGGGGAAGTTGCCTACCCGCACGGGGTCGTGGGCGCCTGCGGACGGGGCGATAGGCAATCCGCCCGCACTGCTGCATGCTGGTAGGGGAAGTTGCCTACCCGCACGGGGTCATGGGCCCCTGCGGTAGGGGTGATAGGCAACCTGCCCTCACCGGCGCGTGCAAGATAGAGTTGCCTGTCGCCACGGGGGTTTTGGGCGCCCGCCGCTGAACTCACTTCTACTTTCCGCACGTAAAAAAGTATTGTGTAATCACGTCGGGGGACCTCGTATCTCGGACTCCCACTCTTTGTCGCGAACCTGCCGCGGCGCCCGGGTGCTTACGCTTCGGGGGGCAGGCGCCTCTTTTGGGGATCAAAAACACCTTTAGGGTGTAGGGGCGTGCGCATGGGCGGCGGCTGGCGCCCTAGTCGCGGCACCGACAAACCCGATCAAGCTCGCTTACCGTGAAGCCGGCGTTGGTGTGTGCCATGGCGCTCTACTGGGCGTGCCTCCGGAGCACGGCGACCGACGCGTGCCTCCCCACTGGCGCTTGCTGTGTTGCGCGTGGTTGTGGCGGGTGACGAGGCGAGCGCGGTGTTGCGCGTGGTTGTTGCGGGTGATGGGCGACGAGAAGCCGTCGGAAATCATAAGAGCAGGGGGTTGTTGCGAGGGCCGCGGAGAGGAGCCACCTCCTCGACGGCGTCCTTCTGCGTGTGGCGGTGCGGAGCGCGGGCGGCGGGCGGTGCGAGGTGCAGCGCAGCGCTGGCGGCGCACGTTTGACGAGCCGCGCGGCCGGCGCCGCGAGATGTTGCGATCCTGGCCGAGCCCGTGGTGGGAGGCACACTCCTCCCCTCCTCCCCGCCCCGCCTTTACTCCCGGCGACTCTGGGCCGCCGCGCCCGACTCACCGGCGGGGCAGGGCCAGTGATTTGCCATTAACTTTACTGTCGCCTTCATAATGTTTCCACAATAACCCGGGGGACGAGGGGACGACAACAACACCGCCAGGGACGCCAGGGAAAGCCGGCGGGGGGTCCTCGACATATCGCTATATTCACCCTATTGCACTGCTCTGCTTTTCCCCTAAAATAATAATAAAACACAGCAGTATTTTCTTTCAAATCTTCCAACTTTTCCGTCCTTGGGAATGGGTCACTCTGTCTGCTGGTGAGATTGTGCGCGTAGGCCGCTTTATCGGAGGCAAACTGTCTACGGAATCCTGCGATACGCACTTCCTTTCGATTACTCGGTCACCCACCTTACTTCTCAAGTAATCGAATTGCGGAGTGCGTGGTGGCATAAAACCTGTCGGCATGAGCGGGAAAGTTTCAGTCAGAACTGTCAAATTAGCCAATATACGATAAGTTACAAGTTGTCAGGGAAAAAGAGTTAGTAGCAAGTACCAAGCTGTCCCCGCACGAGACAATCCGCTTCTGAATAACACGATACACCCCCTAAGAATGTCAGACAGAACTGATGGCTCCTTAGCTGCAGCTATGCCTACTAGTTGTTGGTATAACCACAGCAAATTTTACTTAGCCGCCCTTCAATTAGAAAACCTGTTAGTTTTGACGACTTGTCTTGCGTGATCCGTGTCCGATCCTATCACGTGGCCCTATCCTCATGACTTCCCCTCTCTCCTTACTTCTGCTGACGTTGGTGTCTGTTCGGTTTCGTTGTTTAGTGTCGCTGCATCTGGAAGGCCCCGGGCCGCTGCCTCGGGCTGTCGCCGTGGGCGTGCGAGGCGGACACGGCGCACAGGCGCCTGCGGGGAACTGTCGCACGTGCTGACGGACGGTGCTCCCGGAAGGGTGCGAGCAGGTGTCGTGGGGGTGGCGTCTGGGTGTGCAGCAGGGCTGTGCGCACTCGCAGCGGAGCTCGTAAACCGTGCTAAGCCTGCCGGGCTTGACATACTTGAGATGTGGAATGGATCTCGTGAACGAGGCGACGGGTCATGTTTCGGTCGATGAGTCAGCATGCGACTTAAGGACATTTTGAGCAGTTTGCAGCGGTCTGAGCGAGTTGTTTAAATTTAGGGGTGACGAGAATAGAGGACACCATGCATGCTGAGGGTGTGGTGTGCAAAGCCGTCCCCTGTTGCTGGATGCACCTGTGAGCGGGTATCGTGTATAATACACGGGTACATCGTAACAAGCAGGCCCACTCGTGAAGTATTTACGTAATATTAAGCAATTGAACTCTTGGTTTATCAGTGCATGCGCGCCGCGATCTCGACTCGAATATGGCCTTTTTTTGCTCTATCTGGAGTTTTCTTTCTTGCGACCTATGTGCAACGCGGCCATCTTTCTGTTATAGCCGGAGAAAAGGGATAGAAAAAAAGAACGAACAAAATTTTGGAACGAAGGATCCTGCTTTAATGAAATTCTTTTAGATAGCAAAAATAAAGAAGAAAAAGGCGCATTTGCCAACCTACTATTCTTTGTCAGCTCCTTTCACCCACTTATTTGGAATTGGGCAAGATTTGCAGGGGCTTTTCGTTCTCGAGTGGCCCCCTAAGCCCCGAAAATTTCAAGTCTCTATCTTCTTCATATGTCTTTAGCACAGACATCAGATCGATTGCATAAAACCGCTTTATTGATTTTTCAAACCCAAAGCATAAGGGTGGGCTAAAATGTGTCAAATTTGTGTTCCCTGCTGTTGGAAATGTTATTTTGTCCAGCTGACAACAACAACTCTTACTTTCTAGATTGTATAACTGAATCTTGCAGTCGTCCAAGAATGCACGGCTTGTTTGACTCAGTACGATTCGTATGACTGTTATCGAGTCAGTGCGGTGCCGCGCTGCCAATGGCACGAAATGATTAGCGAACCCGCTGTAGAACTCGCGGGGTGTGATGTAGTACGCCTTGTGGATCGTACGTCGGTCCGAAAGACAGACTGCCAAGCAGAGCATCCCTGTTTTTCCCAAGTTGTTCGGAAGTTTTCGAAATTTAGACCTTGGGAGAAGGGTGCCCATTTCTCATGTTTAGATCAAGTTGAAGAGTAGCACAAAACGAGTAGCGTGGCGGAGTTTTTATTGTGTTTTTCAAAAATTTTCGTCGCCTGATTTATGGGGGGTTAAGAATTAAAATTAGGCCCTTTAGAGAGGTGTCTAAACATGTTAAGATCTAGATTGAGCGCGCATGTTTTTTGTGATTTCTAAATGTAGTGTTGCACAGTGTTGTAGGAGAATCTTAGGAGACAGGAAAATTCAGAAAGAGAGAATGAGGGAATGGAGGTAATGGTAAGTGCAG